GGGAGATAAGATCGCAAAAAAATAATATGTTAAGTTGTAAAATTTGTTTTTTATACGCAAATTCGCTTTAAAGAAGTCCTCTAAAAGGAGTGCAAAACACACTAATCTATTTTTAGCAATTATGAAAGCAATGTACTTGAAATTAGTTTATAAAAGACGGAGTTCTTTTGTTTTTCGATACATTGTATGTTTGGTTTTTGGTTTCATTTGCAAGTTTACTATTAAAACTAGGTTTATTGAAAATAGAGTAGAGCACCCAATTCGAGCAGCACAGAGCAGCTGCGTCAATAACAATAGAGTAAGTTAGAGCAACTCGGAGCAAAAAGCTTTTGACAAATTTTTTGGGCAACAATTTTCATGCGGAGTTTGACTTTTCTGTTATACACAAAATAGAAAATTTTTACAATTTTTTCATATATAATTTAATAAAATTTATTATTTTATCGTCACTTGTGTGAAAGTTGTTTATTGTGGCCCATGATCATCCCGGTCTTATATTTTGCCCGCTCTCGTCTTATATATTATTGCTGGCTCCAAGTTACTCTACCAAAAAATTCAGAGCAGAAAATCGTGATCTGAGTTGCTCTATTTCTGCTTAGAGCAGACTCATGAAACAAAGAGTAGAGCAAGTAAGACCAAAAAAGTGTCATGGAATACAATTTTGTGAGATAGAGTAACCTAGCTGTAGATTACAGCAGCTCTATAAATAAATCTATTATAATTGATTATTACAAAATATCGGAATGTCAATTAATTTTAAATAATTTTCATTTAAATCCATCGATTACTTTAATCTACCACGATATTGAAGAATGAGAGCAGCTGAAAACCACTATAAAATTTTATATTTATTCAATATGGTTTCTTTCCACATATATTTCTCAACACGATGCTTATTATAACTATTACTATTATAATTATTAATTATAATTTATTAAATATTAAATGAAATTTATATTTTTTATACGAATTTTTTAATTTTAATTTGATGTTTGGAAAACGAACACCAGATTGATAAGCCCTCCCCATATTGGATGCGTCATTTCGAATTTTGTTAAAAAGATTTTAGACTCATAGGCAAAACCTTGGATCAGTGAATTTCAAGCGATTGAGGAAACAGAGATTTTTGTAATTTACAATACCATTGATTAATAAATAGAAGCTAACTTTGAAAATCGAAAAACGCCATTGAGTTCAGTGAACTCAAATTAGGATGATGTTAACGTGTTTCTTGAGATCTTTTTTTCTCTTACATTTTTTTACTATTTTTCCATTAGTCTGCTCTAAGCATCTTAGAGCAATGCATATAAAAAATGCCCGATCTCGGAAAACCCAATTAGGCCTAGTGATTCGTTGTAATTTATGGGTTGGTTCTTTGAAGAATATTCCTCTCACCGTTCCAGATGATCAGACCACTTGGTGGCTTTTACGAGCTTTTGGGGGATGAATCATGCCTACAGATAACGATAACGGACCGCACTAAAGCTGGGCAGTGGCAAAGTCAGAGGTAATGTTCCATCGTTTACTCCTCATCTAGTCCTTCCAGCTGCGGTAAAAGTCGTTTGAGAAGTAGACCATGCTGCTATTATTTCCTGTTTGGCTCTTCTGGTGAAATATAGCGTTTTTCTTTCATCTTTTTTAAATGCGAAGTATTTGGAAAATATTTTCAAAAACGTTATATCCTTATAAGCTATGACAGAAAATTACGAATCAACTTTAATTTTTTTTAGATATACATACGAAATTTCTACTTTCTTCAAGAAACTAATGGGATAATTTTGGCTTCTTTTTTATCTACTTCAGAAAAATAATTATTATCAACTGAACAAAAATTAATAAAAAATTTAAGTTGTGATTTTTGATTTATTACTTATAATGATGACGGTTTCTGGTATTTATTTATGCAATCTTGAGTTGATTTCAGAAACAAGAGTAAGTCATATATACAACGGAGGTATTGAAATGCAAGACAGGAGTTACCGTTTAAATTATCTATACTCATATTATTTATTAAGGGTTTGGTATTTTTGAGTAGAATTTTATCCTTTCTGCAAAGTGTATCAGGGACAAATATATTCAGGAACTGATTAGGTAGTTTTCTGTTCAGCTTAAATTATATAATAACTTTTGTAGGAGATTGATCGGGGATTGAGATTAATACATCCTTGCAAGAAGGCTTCCGATAATTTCCGCCAACATTTGTCAGGAATGCATGACGACATATCCCGTCAGCTTGTAGAACGATTTTCCTATCACTTTCTTAAGTCCAAAATGACAAAAGTGATGTTTACATTTGCATACGTGTACGTCATTCTCTCTTCATTTCCTTGTGCATTTTTGTCATTCTTGTCGGACAAGCCGAACACAGATGAGTGACGGCATTGACGCCGGAGGAAATCAGCTTTGGTAAAAATTGTCCTTACATATATACATACACACTAACGTTATTAAGATTCAGTCTTTATTTCAATATTTAAAATTTAAATTTAAATTATGTGCATGGTTTACATAGCATACAAAAGAAATAACAATACAACAATAAATTCGCTACAATAATCAGAAGAAGTCTTTAATAGTGACGCAGCTCCTCAGCTCTACGAACGCCTCCGTCTTAATAGCGTCTCTCTTGTAGTTTAAAGATGTCTAAGTAAATTAAAAAAGGAATATTCGAATCAGAATGTTATTAATATTTAAATGCAGTTTTACATCGCAAAATTTTTTTGAATATTATTAAATCTGCTGTGGCTCCAAAGTGGGAAGCGTCCATTACAGTCAATCTGCTCCATTAGCCGAATTTTCCGTAAAATATGCAGTTCCCTTAAATAAACGAGTTTAAAAAGCAATGAAAAATGGAGTAACTAATTAATCCAAAGGATATTATTACCATAGCTTGTACAGGATCCTGATCATTTATTTTTCACTTCTATCTACTGCGGAGAAAACCTTAAAAATTGGCGTTCTACTCGAAAATAAGAACAAAGAAAATCGGATAATCCGTTCAACTGCATTCTTCTTCAATTTGTATGTACTTAGAAAATCGTTTCAGCGGTTACTAAGCGCCAATTAAAGAATATCTAACTTCGGTTCCTCCCGAGGTTTATTCTTCCTTACTTGTGTTTATTCATAAGCCACCTTTACTCTTGTTAATTTATTAAATCTATATAAATTTATTGATATATTGCACATAAATCGTCTTAATAATAAAAAAGTACCAAATTAAACATTGATGTTTCTTGAGTGGAATATTCAAGTTATTTTTACAAATTCGCGGAACAGGGTATTTAACTATCCCTATCAATTCAATAGTCCCCTTATCAATGAAATGTTCTTAATGTAAATCATAGTCAAAAATACTAGTATATATTTTAACAACATAAAGATATGTTTATAATTGTACAGTTAGGTGAAGAAAAATAGATGCTAAAACGTATCACTTATATTAAATTCACAGACCGCCCGCATGAGCAGCAACTTTAGTGCATTTAATTTTTTTCATTATTCGGCAGCTCAGATATTTATTACATTCTGCTTAAAATGTAATTTTGAATAAATCTTCACTTGATCTCTTTTTACACGCTTTCATGACTTTTTTGTACCGGATTTTCTTATGTATTCTTATCCTTTTCAAAATGCTTTTTTGTATTAGCTTCACCTGTGGCTATGTAAATATCTGTCGATCTCGGGCCACTTCAAATTTTGAGCACATATCAAGAAGTAGTGAAAATACAGTTATTTGATAAATTTATCTCATTATCCTTATCAGATTATTTTAAAAATAATTTTTGATCTTCTTCTGTTAAACTATATTTATTTGTCATAATTACACTGTGACCAAATGCCATGTAAGAAAGTGAGAATTAGTCCATGCCGATATCTTTCTACTTTGCAATTCAATCGAGGAGAAGGATTTCAAGATTCAGTAGGCTGATGAAATTTTTTTTAATTCAGAATATAGATGAAAACATTAATAGTAATTCCATGAGAAGGAAGACGAAAGGGGAGAACGTTGCACCGCTGCTTAAAACTTTGATTAAAAATGATTTAGCCGTGATAACCGAATTAGGAAATGATTTTCTGAAATGTGACCTGAACGAATACATTAGCAAATAACTGAAAAACGTTAAAATTGTACAATTAATTACAAACCATGACTTCTGTACACCGTAAAAAAAATGTGACACCTTTTCACCTCTTTAAAAACTAAATAAATTTACTATTTAATACGAATTTTTTTCCACATACCGGACGTATGCACATAGGTGGAGGCATTTTCGTATTGTATTGAACATTGATGGCTGCAATAGCCGAATGGTTAGCAATGAGTGCTGCCGATGTGCTATTTTGATCTATAGAGGGAATATTTTGTGTGTCTTCTGTAGAACATACTGAGATACATAAATTTTCGTATTAAAATAAATATTTCCAGCTTATTAGCAATGCCATTTATCAATGCCTCACAATTAAATATTTTTAAACAATTTCTTCCCTTACAAGGATTTATTTTACTTTTTTGAACGGTTGGCCGTGCAAATAGAAGATCAAGTGATTTTCAAATTTGAATAAAAGCATTACTTTTAAAATATTTTTTCATTTTATTACCGATAAAAAAGCAACACTACTTTGAAATTCAAAAGAATTCAACGGTGTATATATGTATGTACGTACGAGGAGATTAACAAAAGCTCGGTAAGTAATCTTGTCATTTTTTATCTTCTCTACATTATCGTCATTGATTTGAATGCATTTCTTAAGCCTGTAGATCCAATTCTGAAAATAGTCTTCAAGCTGTTTAATCTTTTCAGGACTTAATTTTTTTAAATTTTTGGAAATAACCAGAAAACACAAGGTGCTATATCCGGGGAATGTGGTGCTGGACGTACATATTTCTTCCATCCCAGAGATCGCAATGAAATTACTCCTTATTTCAGCAGTGTGGAATGGCGCGTTGTCATAATGTAAAATGTTCCTGTTTTCCAACAAATTTTTCAAAACTCTTGGTAATCACTCTTCGCTGTACCATTTTGCAGTTACGGTTTACCCTTTTTTGGAATAGCAGCTACGATTTTTGATTGGGTGAATTAAACTGTTATCATTACTTTCGTTGCTGTTTTTTTGTAGCTTAGATACGGTTGCTTACGGGTGGGTGTGCTTTCTGGATTCGTCACCAGTAACCAGTTTACTAAAGTTGCTAGACTGAGCATTCTCGAATTTGTTAAGGAAAATATAGCAAAATGCACTCGATCCTCTTTTTGGGCTCATTAAAATTCGTGGTGACCATTACGATACAGCTATGGCATTCAAGCTAAATTCATTAGCAATAATTGATTGCGTCAATCGTGGGTCGTTCCTGAATTTTGGATTTCAGCAGAGCTACAGTGACGTAATCAGTGGATGTCCGGTCTGGAAGCTTCGGGACCACTTATAAATAGTCTTTACGGGGCAATCATTCCATATATAATTTGCCATTCACTGAATATTAGTATAGACTGTATATTACAACGAAACACGAATTTCTGAATTTTCGTTAATCATCTCGTACATACCGACCAACATAAACGGTAATAATATCTCCTGCCAACAGTTACTTCTTCGAATTAGTAAATAATTTAAAAGTAAAGGAACAATAAAATAATGAAAGAGCTGTACGACATAAACAGAGCCATTGATATAGTTAAACGAATGAAAAGACAGCGGCTACGCTGGCTAGATCCTGAAGAAGTACCTTCAATTATATATATATATATAGGTATGTATGTATGTACGTAGCTATGTAGTTTTGATATTTTTCTATTGAAAAATGATCGTAACCTTTTACATTTTCTAGTAACGATAGCTACATATTTACATTTCGGTTGTTCGAAAATGTTATTCTCATGAATACATAAATACATATATGTTTAGAAATACTAAATTTAATTATCTGTGCATAAAATAGCCTAAGTCTAATTGAGTATAAAAAACTTTCTTTTATGGCAAATATCCCAAGGTGTCTTCTAAAGAAGTATTCACAGCGCGCATTGACTGATAACTACTTTGAAAACTTCCTCGTTTTTCAAATTCTTCCAGCTTTCTTTGCCCATTAGTAAGATTACTCCTTACTGACCCCGACTTCAATTTCTTGTCCATTCCTCCCAATTTCCCTAGCAAATCATCAGCGCTATGCGACTTTTGTGAGGAGCTTGTTGATAATGTACCCGCACCGTGATCCTTGCTTCGCCGATCGATGCTGGATGAGTCCCTTTTTATTAACGATTGTGCATATTTTTTCGTTTCCACACTTCGAGCGCTTCTCACAGATAAGTTTGCCTTCGATTTATTTGAGGGTGTAGAGCAAATGCTTTTGATGTCGGTTGTTTGACTCAGCTTCATATCCGCAAAAACAGCCGCTACTTCAACGCTTTTTTTAACACTTAAGGCTTCGTGCTCTTTCACAGATTTTCCATTACCATTGATGGTAAAAAGCTCATAATCTAAGGCTAGCTTTTCCGCGGCAGTTGAACTTTTCAGTCTCGGCTGAGTACCTTCTCCTTGGCTTCGCATAGACCCCGCCCGGCGATCATGTTTACAGTAGCATTTGCTAGTACTGATGCAGCTATCCGTGTCACACCATGTAGTGTCCGAATGTGTATTGGCAAAATCACTACCAGGTAAAGCCGCTTCTTCTTCAACCATGGAACAATAACATTTTTCATCCGATTTGCACGATATCAGCGAATCTCGATTTATATTGCTACCGGAAGTATTATTTGTGTTTCGCCTACTGATATTAGTCAGACTTTTCGGGATTGCCACGGGACGATCAGGTTTGCGCCGTAATCTGCTGTTAACGTGATCTGTTCGTAGACTGCAATAGCATCTATCCGCTGAAGTACACGTACATGATTCTGAATCATAGCTGCACTCGGAACAAGAGACGTAGCTGCAATTGCAATCATTGTAATCTGACAAATAAGATGTAGTACCTGCTACGTACCCGCTGCTGCTGTTTCTGTTCAAACCATGAATTGCATCTTTACGCACCACCGATACATCCGACCCACTGGTTGCCACACGCGATCGCTGCTGATGAGTCAAACGCCCCATAACTGATGGTTGATTTTTCAGACTTTCGTTTATGTTTTGATCTCTGCCTTCGTCTTTTTTATTTCGGGATAGTTTCATCTGGGGTTTACCACGACATGATCTAAATTGGCTCAAGTGCAGTACCTTTTTCAAGCTCTTCGTGCCAAATAATAAAGTTTTGGACTTTTTCTAAAAGACAGAAGCGAAAAGACCAATTACATATGTATCTGTAATCAAATTATAGTTTTAACATAATAATACACATAAGGTTTATAATCCTAGAGGTACTTTGTAATCACCTGGGTTGCTGGAACAGTATTTCGACGTTTCAATTTCTTTTTTCTTTGTCGACGCATAATATTCTTTGATCGTTGGAAAAGTTCGTCTTTCGTTAGTGTCACTGCCAACTTGAGAAGGAATTCCTTGTAAATTGGTTTAAGATCGTTGAAAGACATTCCATCAGCGTCAATTATGGCATAGAGAATTTCATCCAATGAATGAAGATTTTCATGCAAACGGAATTCATTGAACAGTTCGCTGAAACCAAGTGGTGAACTAGAAATACAATTTAAATAATTCGAATACTCAAGGATATGCTCAAGAATTCTACACCACAGACGGCCAGAGTGCGGAAATCATATATGTATATACATATATATGTAATGTAATGGAAAAACGGAAGGAGGTGTATACAAGCAGATATAGTTTGTAGCAACGGCTTCATGAGCATAAGGCATTCGTTAATGCTATACATATATACGTACATTTGTATGTAAAAATATATTTGTCATATTAAGCTCTAATAATAGATTGGATCTACATATGTATGTATATTCGTCGATAAAAAATAAACTTGGTATGATTAACGTATGCATGTATGTAGGCATAGAAGAGTAGTTATGACCTTAAGCTGTCATTTTTGAAAGCGGTGTAATTACTTGAGTAGTTGAAAATACTTACCCACCACCTCCGCCTAATTTTCCAGAATGACGTCGCGCTGCTCTTGATTTATACCGCGTAAGCCCTCCCGTATTTAGGAAGCTACCGGATCGAGGTATTGCTACGCGAGTCAAAATATCTCCAGTAAATTCGTTTCGCAGCCCACCACTGGAGTTACCTCCCAAGGGTTCGGTAATGGGCAAGTGACTGCCAACTAAAATTTCTGAAGCTTTGTAAACATTATCTTTCGTCTTTCTACTTTGCAAACCCCTTTTGATGGCGTTATTACCACCACAATCATCACAATGTATATCTATAAGTCCAATGCCATTTGGAATACTGTGGTTTCGTACGGAATCATCAGAATGGATATCATTTGGAATAGGTGGAGCACGTTTGCTCTTATGAGACTTGCGTTTTCGTTCCTCCGTTGTCGTTTCTGCCTCGTTAATGATATTACTGTTAGAATTGAGGGCGTTATTTGAATTCCGTTTTTTTCGACCCACTCGGGGAGGGGTTACTACATCAACCCCAACGCTTCCTTCTGAACTACGTATAGAACTCTTGCGATCACTAGACAGGGCATGATACTGGGATAAGTAGTTTGAACCAGTTCGAACCGAACTGCTAGCAATACTTATACAGCTGACGCCATTCTGATTACGTGGGGTACGCCTTTTTGTGCTGCGTTGTGAACTGGAATTCACATGTGCCATTAAGCTCTGGTATAATGTAGCAGCAATAACGATTGCATCTTCAGTACTTTTACAAATAAAAGCATGACATTTCAGAATTTTTGCCAAACCTGGAGATCGCATAACCACAGCAAAAATTGGAGCGTGTCCACTACTTGGCATTTGATTTTTCTCATATTCACTATAAAAAAAATTACTAATTATTGCAAAAGCTCAATCACTCAATATGTATGTATGCACATATGTACTTAGACATACGTACACACATATTATATTCTCTCACCCTAGAGGACTGAATAATGAAGCTTTATCAATATTCTCAGGATCTGTGATCAAAGGTAAAAATGCCGCGCCGCCGTCAGTGTCCGAGATTACAAACTTTACTGCTGACCAAACAGCTATATTGTGAAATGGTGTTATATTTTCGTCACTTTGATTGCTTGCATTACAATTTGCGTTTATCTTGACGCGTAATCCCGTAGTACAAATGTCCAAGAATCCTGAGCAATTTTTCTGAAATATTTAAACAAAGTCAACTATGGAGGTATTTTTTAGACATATTGGCATTTAATAAATACCTGGGTATTCAACTCCTTCAAATACAGAGCACGGAGAGGTGCTTGCAATCCCTGAAGGCTGGTCACTTTGTCTTTTAGGGGTAGTGATCCTAAGTATATAACTGAAAAACTGCTTGTGGCATCCTTGGCTACGTCCGTGAATAGTTGCTCAATTTGTTCCTGGACACTGTTGCTAATACGTTGTACATCTTTTTTTGTGGAAACTGTTTTCTTTCTTGTTGTTTCAGTAGACTCCTGCAGCAAACTAGTTATAGATCGACCACTTTGACCTGTACTAGCGAGCTCACTACGGCCATACATTATTATAGAACGAGTTCGATGAGATCCTCTAGTGTCGTCAAGTCTGTTGTTGCGGACAGATCTACAAAAAAAAGAGTGCAATAAAAAATTAATTTAATAAACCGAGAAATGTGTTTACATATGTACGTATATTTATTGGAAAATGAACTAATCCTTCAAATTTTAATATTTCATAGATTTGTCTATTCTACTTTGTAATCCTCAGGTAAATCACAATAGGAAACGATTAGATTTTCTTTGGCAAATTCACAAGGCTTCAGTGGAGTCTGTAAGTGGATTATTTCTGATAATAGAGTATTGCAGCTTGCCTTAAAAAAATTACTTATTATTTTAAATAGTTTTTTATTTAAGTTATGGCAATGTTTTACATTTTTTAATTTCAATATCATATTTCGGTAGATTACACTTTAAAAAATAAAATGTTAAAATTTCAAATCGATATCTCAAATAGTTTTTGAGTTATAGCAATTTAAAGAGCAGCCGCTCGGCAGCTAGAGAGTCTCATTAGCTACGAGTGAAAACGATAATTTCGTAACAGCATTTTCCGAATTTGCTGCAGTGATTAGTCAAAAACAAATGATCCGATCGCTATCGAATTTTTTTATATGTTCTATATATAGTTCTCCATACAATGTCCTATCGATTTTCTGATCAAATTTTAGCAGGCCGAAAACGACCAAAATTTTGAGTAAAACTTGACAATTTTTTTTAAAACGTCGCTATATTGCCATTTTTTAAATTTTTTTTTATCGTAGGTCAATAGTAGACAATATTATCTAGTTTACCGGCAATTTTTTTCTAGATTTCATCCACGGAGAAGGCCGGAATCACTGCAACAGTGGAGGACTTTTTTTTCGCGCCGTTGGTGACCGACTATAACTTAACAAATATTTAATTTTTTTTTCTTCAAAAATTTCACTGGATATTTTTCAAACATGTATAAATATATTCTTAAAATTTTAAAATAATTGATGAAGTATTTTTTTTTATAAAAATCCCCAAAAATCACCTTTTTATAGGCCATTACACTAGGTGTGCGCTGAAAGAAACTATTCTTATAGAGGCAAAAGTGGGGAAAAAGCTATTAAAAATGTTCTATTGCAAAGTATTATTTAATTATACATTTATGTAATGTATGTATATATACATATTTTTACTTTTCAAATTTAATTACCTAAAAAAACAGGCTTTTCCTAACCGAGTTTTTGGGTCGCTTTGAAAATATTGTAAATATAAATGAAGGTTTGGCCAAAGATCCGCATTTTTCCAGATTATCTCTTCCACAAAAGCAGAATTTTGAGAAGCGAAAAGTACGATTTCGTAAAACCCAATTGAAATATGCAGAATTTTCAATAACAGTTATCTCTGCGTTGTTAAAGAAAATTAATTGAAAAAAAAATCGAAGAGAGGTCGCCCTTCAGTAATTGATATTAACTCCTTCGGACGTGTTTCTGGCATGAAAAGAAAGCTCATCATAAAAATCATCAGCCCAACGGTTGTATAGATTCTTTCATTTGTTGGAAAACATCTCATGGCACACCACAAATTGAAGGCCGAAAATCGGTTCAGTGCTGTCAAGTGGCCACCAAGTGTTTAATAATTTGATCCTACCATTCTATTGACCTTAGACATTGGTTAGTAAACAATGTACAAGAGAAAATAAACTCTCTATATTGATATACTACATACATAGTATATTTGTTTGTAAATTAATATATTAATATGTAATGATGTGTTTGGCAAAAAAACAAATGTACATACTTACATATGAATATTCAGTTTGAAGGAACATTTATTCATTTAACTTAGTTTTAGTGACTAGAAGTAGCTGGAAGGTTGAATGATTATTTTACCGTTTATTGACATCAAAATTATTCACGACTTGTTTAAATCTACGCGCGCATGTAAGTATATTTGTTCACATACATATTCATTTACATATTACATACCTTTATATTCAACACAGAAATCTAATTTGCACAACAATCAGTAGATACAACAAATACAATTTGTATGAACGTAATTTTTTTGTGCTCTTCGCCACAAAAAATCGAACATCATTTATATGTGATATCGACAGACATGTTTAAACGTATGTACGTGTATATATTTATGTATAGATGTATGTATTTACACATTTGAATATACTCTTGTATGATGAACTAATACGAATAACGGCTCAGTAGTTTATCTAATTGTGTATTAGCTACAAAACCGTTTTAAAAATAAGAAGAAAAGAAAACGGAAGACAATCAATTATAGAAAGTATATTTATATTGAAAACCTACTGACAACGCATTCGGGTCAGTTGAATTCGAAAACTTGTTGTTTTACTTATGTATGTATGTACAAATTGGCATCTTATATTTTTTTAATAAATATTTTTTTTTTTCTATATACTACCTTAATACCTACTGTAGACCAATTTCATTTTCATTCATTTTTTTCTGTGACCACACCGGCCTGCGTTGAAAACCTTCTCAACAATATTTAGTCATAAATTTACAGGCTTCGAAGTCTTGATTTTTCAATATGAGTATATTTACCCATTTTTGAAACTAGACACGATTTTGCAATTCGCTAGGGCAGAGTATAAAAAAATCGTGGCGAAAACGAATAAATACTCAGCTGATAAAACTTTATCATTGTGGCTTAATTCCTAGTAAAGTCGCAATTTGGTGATCCTATTTAACCTAATAGATATTGAATAACATATTTTTAAGAGAACCATAATCCTACACAAGCTTTTTTTTTTTTTTGTTATAACGTAGGCCTTAGCGGCTGGTGCGCTAAATATGTTAGTGTAATATTTTATGTTATTCTAAAAAATAGTAACAATGATAATAATATAATTCTTTAGGTGTAACTTTAATTTATTTTGGCATAGGACCATGAGATTTAAGGTATTTAAATGAAAAACATTATTTTTCAATCATATTTATATACATATATATATATATATATTTATTTATATATAAATTGGAGCTGTGTAACCACTAAAGCGATTTTCGGACAAGCTCCTCCTACATTTCTGGTTTCGCGTCTTGATGTCTTTCATACAAATGGAGGGACCTACAGTTTATTCAAAGCTGCCTCCGAACGGCTGATGGTTCTTTATGAGGAGCTTTTTTTTCATGTTGCACTCGGAGGGTTTGAAATTTCCTGCCAAGGGGTGGCCGGAATTAGAAAATTTAACTTAATAATTATTTAAATTAATTTTCTGTAACTTTCCGTATGTTAGGGCGACACCAGGATTTGAACCCGAGTCTTCCGCATGGCAGTACGCAATGCTAACCTCTCGGCTGCCGTGCCGAAATAAATCACAGGCGGCCAGGTGTATTAGCAGGGGCATTGCTCATGCATAGGGTTGCATATGCGCTTGTTGCTTGGCCGTATTCTCCACATCATCATGGTGCAAAAGCAGTTTTTGTTCTTCCACTCATCTGAATATATGCGCTTCTGGCAAATTTATTGAAGAGATCTCATTACACATAAAAAGAACTGTGTGGGTGTTTTGCGACACTCAACTATGCCGTGCTGTTACGTATAACATGGAATTTTTATTTCGTTCTACTCATTTCCATTTTTTAGAGGATTTAATAAAATTATAGGTATATTTCTTTCAAAAAATAAATAAAATTTTACATATTACGACCAGTTAAAAATTGTTCTCATTACTTTCAACAATTTTTTTTAATATACTTAAGATACAATATAATAAATTAGATAATACTCAAAGAGGCGGACAGACAAACTTGGCTACAACAACTCAGTTGATAAATATTTCGTTATACATTTTTGATGTTTTATTTCTTGGCTTTTTGTTATTGTCCTAATTCAGTGCTAAGTTGTAATAATATTTCATGTTCGGTGCGAGGGCATTTACTTTTAAGCAATACTGTTTTGAAACATATTTTGCGAAAGGAGGGCACGTTCAATGTACGATGTCTATAGTATACTATATGTATGTACATGGATGTGTTTATTTATATATGAGCACTAATAGTAATAAAGGTGTTTGTAAAATGAGTACAAACAATGGGCGTTAAACATAGTAATAATCTGCGAAAACATATGCCGTGATGTAATTCAGTCAGTATGGGCGAGTTCCAATACGTCATAATACTTTGTAATGATGTGGTTGCGAAAACGCATCATAACAATGCAACCCTGCATTCTATAAATCTGGTTTGCAGCAATACTTTGCAAACTCTGTCATTTTGTAACCTTTTAAGTTCGGTGAAAGGGGGAAAGGACTATAATATGAAACAGATAATAAAAAAGCAATATAATGTTTATATAAGAATTAGCGAAAAAACTTGCCCCGACGTCCGCCGTTAAAAATTTATGATAAAATAGAGCATTACAAAATTTAACGATGTGCACTTTGCTTTTGTTTGCACTTCAATAACTTTACCGATGCATTTTGCAGCATGATACATTGTCAAAGTTTTTCAGTTGCATTTCGGATTCGCGACAATGTATGGTTGCTTTGCAGCTGACGTTTTGGAACTCACCCTATTTTCTTCGGAGGTTAGCCATTTGTAGCACCAAGCTTACTGTGTGTGCAAAATACGTGTATATCCTGTTATTACTTAAACAAGCTTGGAATAATAATAAATATTTACAATATTTCCATTTCTAAGTATCAGAGAAAATAAATAAATAATCATAAAAAAGCAGAATTTTTTTTTACGCAAATTATGGTTTAATATTGATTTTGCAATACGATGAATATTTTTCAAATGGCAGCTTCTCTTATTTCTGGTTTGTCATTAATTTCAGCTCCCGATAATATGTGAGATGAAAACACAAATATGTAAGTTCCAAAAAAATCATGTCTTACATAAATAGAATTAGATTATGGCAACAGCAATGGTCCAGTATAATATAAAACTACAGATATCGTTGTAATTCATTAACTTATCAAGTGAAAACAATTATTCTATAAAGTAAAATGTTTAATGATCGATGCGCCGCTCACTTTTTAGTACAAATGCATATATAAACAAATGTGTTAAAACATGTATATCATATTATATATTAAAAGCTTACCACGTT